AATCAGTTAAGATAATTTGCTTTTTATTCTCAGTAGGATGCTTAATTGCGAATCTGTGCTCTATTAATTTCCCTAATTTGACTTCATTTGTATGCTTAATTAATTTTGCAATTTGTATATGCTGGAAAATATGATGTTTATATCTGATAAACAAAATGAGTCTGCTCATGGGCTCGGCTCGGGTCAAGCTTGTTTAGTTAACGAGACGAACTGGCTCGTTAAAGCTCGATAATAGGGGGTTATATGTGATTTTACGAATTTTTACCTCAGGTCAGTTTGTTAATATTGCTAAACAAGCCGAGAGCTCGAGCTCGAGCTCGTTTGTCGGCTTAATTAACAGCTTTGCTTGATAATTGCTCCAGCCCGAGCTCAAATTCGACTCGGCTCATTTTTGCCTCTAGGTTTATCACATTTTTAGCTGATAATGGGAAGAAAAGAAACATGTCTAGTTTTTGAAAGAATGACTAATTGAAAAAGAGGTTATGTTATTTGTCTGCAACTTTTTCACCTTTAAAATTAAACACGCTTCCATTCAAACAATGACCACAATTTTAGTTGGCCCTTTTAGCCTGCTAGTGATGATGAATCTAGCTGGCATCTTTAGAAGTTTCAAATTTTGCTATCCCATTATAGGTTAACTAAAACGTAATTATTCAAATATATTTCAAAAAGCGCTCATTTTAAAATTTTGTGTGGACATAAATGAAAAGTTCAATGATAAAAGTTGGTTTTATTTTTAAGTACTGAAATAATCATTGATTATGAATAAAGTTAAAGTATGGATTGTTGATTTGACTGTGTTTTTAGCTTTTTATTCACTGTATTTCAGTGGGTTGAGAAAATTTTGAAAGTGAATGAATATTGCATTCTAGCACAAAAACTAATTCTAACTAGAAGATTTATCCAAGGCAGTCTCCCTACTAATTCTTCTCTATCATCTTTTATATCTTTTCTTAGTAGAATGTAAGTCTGCTCTATATAATATACGCGTTGATTAATGATAAAAATATTGACATATATCTATAATCACATTTATTATGATCAAATAATATATAGAGGCCCTTGAATGCAAAATTAAACAAGTGGAAATGCTGAGAGAACAGTTTATATGGAGGATTTACAAAGTTGTGAATAGATCTTGGTTTGTATATGCTGGGACCAGAATATGTGGGTCATCCATGTAAGTAGCACATTCAATCATGTGGTCTAGCCTCAATAAAAGAATATATAATTTTATTTCATTCATTCAGAAAGAAAAAGGAAGTCATTATTTTGGACCAATACAGTGAATATTATTTTATGCCTTCTCCAGATTCACATGCATATGAAAGTTCTAAATGTCACTTAATGACAATCTTAATATTTTGATTATTATTACACATACCTATACATCCTCATAAACATTTGAAACCAACTAGTTACTTCACAAAGTTAATAAAAAAATGAAAAATGTGACACTAGTAACACAAGATGATGTCAAACATAATCCTGTTATTTTTAGCATGATTGCATTGGAAAGGGGTTCTTGCAAAATGTTCCAAAATCTGATTCTATTTGGAGACATTTTGCAGTTAAGCTCTAGTGCTTTTCTCTAATATTCATAATAAGCATTTTCCCCACTCATTTAAAATGAAAAGGAAATTAGGCTTTCTCGTCTGACGCTATTTCTTCAACCTTCTATTAGTCCTGTAGAGAAGTAGGCATTTAAGAGAAAATGATATGAATGAGAGACCTGAGATGATATGACGATGTTTGTATCATTTTCCATCACATATTTTATACGGTTGATAATTATGGGGGAACAATTGATTTGTGGTGCTGGTAAGGTTCAATTATGATCTATCACTTTCAATTGGTAGCTGAAAAAATTATGCTACTATAGCATCTAGTAGCTTTAATCACAAAACAAACTTAGGCCGGCTGATGTTTGAGAAGTTTGTTGGGGTTTAACTGCAAATTTGGAAATTTTCAGGGTTGGTAGTTTTAGTCCTGTAACATGATATAACCATCATTGATAAGACAAATAGACTTCATCATCCATGATTATTTGGTCCTCAATGTGTTCTGATAATAGATGAAAAGAGAAAACCTAGTGCTGCTTTAATTAAATGAAGCATTTGTCAAGTTCTGTTATTTAGATGGTTAGCATTTATTTCATCTATGCCAGCTCTAAACCTCAGAGCAGCAGTCAATAAATGAGGTGAATCGTAATTAACTTCGAGGCCACATAATAAAACTTCAGTTAGATCCCTACTTTTCTCTCCATTGCCTTTATAAGGGTAATAAAGTTTTAAAAACAGTACAAGAGATAAAAACATCGGAATCATTTTGCAATTTGAAAGGTTAACCTGTCAGTAAATTTGTTAATGCAATCTTATCATACATCTCAATGCATGTTTTTCAACATGTTCGTTACCGTGCTAGTAAGTGGTACATTCTGCATTCTTAGTAAGTATGTTCAAGGGTCTGAATTTTTTTTTTTTTTTTTTTTTCTGGCTAGTCAATGGAAAAAATCACTTGAAAATTTTGAAACAGCCATTTCAAAATCTTTATCTATTCTCATTTTGTATATAATTTTTTTTTTTTTTTTTTTGTTAAAATTTTACTGAAAAAATGTGATTGACCATGGTCATGGATAACAACTACGCAACTTTGTTAGACAGAATTTAGTTAGTTCTTCAGACGATGAAGGTCAACTTCTTTTGATATACTACCACAGGTAAACTGCGGAGGAACATAAAGAAAGTCATGCCTAAGCATCGTTGGCGTGGGTCTCTCCAGTCTTTCTTCGGGAGCCACATTGACTCAGAAAAAGATGAGGAGCTTAAAGGAACAAGAACAGGTAAAACTTTGGATTACTTATAAAAAATGCCCTCAAAGTTTTTTCTTTAAAAAAGGGTCCTTAATTTGGCCTAATTCCTGAAAATTAGACTTGCTCAGTCGGCATTTATGTTATAATAAAATTACAAAATCCCTCTAAAGTTATCTTATTTTACAAAAGTGCTTAATCATGACTTCTATATCTTAATGTGCTATTTGATTCAAAATGTTGTGTCAGATTGTTTTTTAATCTTAGAGTCTTGACGTATTCATTTGCCTTATTATTAATTTCAGAAATAGAAGGCAAAGTGCAGCAGATCTTAGCGGCTCTCAAAGAAGAGGATAACAAAGGAAAAGAGCCACTGATTAATCTGATTACGGATTTTCACAATCATTATCAATCCCTTTACGCGCGCTATGATTACCTGACGGACGAGCTGCGAAAAAAAGCAACCGGTAAAAAAGGAGATGACAGCTCCTCGTCCAGCTCAGATTCCTCAGACTCGGAAGATTCTCCAAATAAAAAGGGCAAAAAGAATGATTTTGAAAACGACACAGCTGGTGTCAAGCAAGAACTCGAGCTGGCACTTTCTGAGATGACTGAACTGAGGAGAAAGCTGACAATCATTTCAGAAGAAAAGGAAACATTGAGTCGGGAGCGTGGAAGCGCATTGAGCAAAATCGAGGAGGCGGAGAAGATAATATTGGAGTTAAATGGTGAAGCTGAGAAGTTCAAAAGTGAGAATTCAAGATTATTGGCTGAAAATGAGGACCTGGTCAAAGAGCTTGAGAGTTTGCGTAAGTCGCAAGGTGAGACGAGCAAGAAGCTGGAGGAAGTGATTCTAGAGAGAGATGCTGGTGTTTTGAAAGTCGAGGAGGAGAAGGTGAACACGAAAAATTTGAGCATTATTAATAGCCAGTTGCAAAACGAGAAAGAAGCCATACAGCTGGAACTGGAAGCACTCAAGGGAGATTTCTCTAGTTTAAGGGAGAAATTAGGTTCTGCAGAAAATGAAGTTGAAAAGCTGAGTCGAATGCAGAAGGATACCGATGAGGAAAAAGTTGGTCTCTTGCTAAAGCTGAAGGAAAAGGATGACAAAATCGCCAAATTGCTCGAGGAGCACAAGAAGCTCGAAGCTGAGGTTAAATCATGCAAGGAAAATCTCGATTTGTCAGAAAAAAAGATAGAAGAGTTGATCCAGCAGCTCGAAAAAGAAGTCGAAATAAAAGATCAAGAAATCATTCAACTGGAAGATAACATCGAGGACCTGAAGAGGGACCTTGAGATGAAAGACGACGAAATCAAAACGATGTTGGAGAACATGCGAAATATTGAGGTCAAGCAGCGGCTGACGAGCCAGAAGCTCCGTATTACCGAACAACTACTGAGCGAGAAAGATGAGAGCTACCTGAGGAAAGAAGAGAAGCTTCTGGAAGAACATAAATCATTAGAAGAGAAAGCTCTTGTGCTGTCTGGCATAATCACTGTATACAAAGAAGCTCACACGAAAATCGTGTCTGAAATTTCCGAAAAAGTAAACAACACATTGGCCGGGTTCGATGCCTTCCACGTCAAGTTCGAGGAGGATTATGGTCACTTAGAGTCACGTGTTTATGAAATCTCGAACGAGCTCAAGGCCGCCACAAGCTGCATCAAGAAGGAAAATGCCCGTTTAGGTCAAGAATTGAGCGTAGAGAAGAATAAGGGGTTGGTATTGGAAAATAAAGTTGGCGAGCTGGAGAATAAGTTGCAAGAAGATGAGGACAAAAGGAGAAGTTTGGTGGAGATGATGAGACTAAGGGAGGAGAAAGTGGGTGAGCTCGAGAAATTGGTGGCTAATATGGAAGAAAAAATGGGGGATTTGGAAAGAACAATGAAGGAGAAGGAAACAGGATTTGTAAATTTGAGTGAGGAGAAAAGAGAGGCCATAAGGCAGTTGAGTGTTTTGATCGAGTACCATCGTAATAGGTACGATGATCTCAAGGGCATGCTAGCGAAAACGAGAGGAGGAATAAATCAGGTGGCTGTTTGAATAACAACGTTTGCATTTTTATTTTTTTTTTACTTATGTTTTCTATAAAAAGTTTGCTCATTTAGTTTGTTGGTATATTTTTGTCGATCTTTATTGTTTTCGGTTGAAGGAAGTAGTTATTGTTGTTTTGTTGCTGTAAAATTTCGACTCAGTACAGAGATGTATAGGGAAAACAAGTTGCATTTGTTTTTGATCTGGTTGTTTTTTGAACTTTAAATTTCAACGTTTAAAATTTATATGCAAAATTACCAGCTAGAATTACTAATGATATATATATAAATTCTTTTTCCAGTATTTTTGGTTATGGCTTTGAACTTTCATTTTCTTATATAAGCGAAATTGCCGCTTTCATTTCAGCCGATCTTATTCCAGTTCGGGCATCCTTGATGCTGATATCATTGCTTCGCATATGAACCCGATACTCCCACATCGGCATCGACCACTACATACAATTCGTACTAGTGCAAGCGTACTAGTGCAAACACACAATTCGTCGACAATCTCTTTATTTTCTCGCATTTCGTTTTTTTATCTCGTAATTATCGTTTCGTAATCTTGTTGTTGAAAATGGCCATCAAATCAACGGTGCCAAAAACGTGATTAAATTGAAGTAGGCTGTCATAATTTGGTTCAAAAGTAGAATATCATTAATTAAAAAAAATAAAAATTAAAGAGTAGCTAAAAGTGGTTCGGATAGACATATTTTCTGCTCACTACAAAGATAGAAAATGTTGGGAACTAACTGCTCTTCAACTCCTGCCCACTACAGCCAATCACATGGCTCCACGTGTCCACTCCCAGATTTCGTACACGCAAAATACTTCAAAATTTAAGAGACACCAAACTATAATACAAAGACAAAGAGCCCATGACAAAGAACACATTAAATTTGTGTCCAAACTCCTCCCAAGGGTTTGAATAATAAGATCATGAGTTTGAACTTGAATGGTCATGAAGAAAATGGAAGCAAAAATTGAGTATGCTCCAAAAGTGTTTGATTGTGGGAGTCCATTGTATGATTCTCATGAGTTGGTTTCACTAGCAAATGTAATCGAGAGGCATACGATGGCCTTGCCGTGGTCTTCTGGGCCGGGCTCGGGCTCGGAATTGGGCTCGTCGAGAGGTGGATCTGGTGCAACGAAGAAGAAAAATAGCGGTCGTAATATTTTTCGCAGAAGGCGGGAAAAGGAGAAATCCAAAGGGGTTAAGAGTGTGATTTATGGGGTCCTTAGTAAATTTGGTTTGATCAATAAAATGTGAGCATGCGAGGGGGAAAATGGTGATTGAAAAGGGGTTTGGACTTGAAATATTTTTTTTTTATCATCAAGAGAAAGGTTAAATTTTTTTTTTGTTTTCTTTGAATTTTTGAATGCTTTGTGATTGAATATTTGAATTATCCAATAGTATCTATTTAATTTCATGTGTTAAAAAGGGTTAAAACAAGCATGTCAGATTTCAACATGTAGAGGTAATTATTTTTATGTAAAATATTATATGGTTACACAATTAGTTGTGTTCATTTCAAAATAATTTACATCACACTTATATATAATTTCAGAATACGTTGACTATAAGTCGCAGCTTCGCACGTTTCATGATCTTATGTGGCAAATATTATGTTTTGTAATATGGCTCAGAACAAAAGAAAAATTACTAATTTTTTATACCAAATAGTTTAGGTTTGTAATGTCACATATACACATTTAATATTTTTAAACTACTTCATATAAATCTATTTAGTATCTTCTTTCTATATTATTATCTTACTTTCTAAATTTTGTAATTTTTCCATATTATTATCTTATGTGTATTATACATAAATATTATAAATAAAACTAATTATGTATATAGATTAGTTTTCATAATTTAAAATAATATTGTTAATTCACTTTTTTATTATAAAATTTTATATATTATACCTTATTAATTAAATTCAACAAAATTTATTAATGTTTTTTTTATTTTTATTTTTTTTACATTTAATTATTTTATCACATAACGTATAATACACGTGTACTGTACTAGTGGGTAAAATAAGAAATAAAAATAAATGGAACATTTTTAGTCCTATTGGGCCTAATGTTTGTATCCATTAACGCTGTTTAGCATAAAGTGTAGGCTTCTGGGCCTGAAAATATGCAAATTGTAACGTGGGCCTAATCTTAGGTGGCATTGGGATATTGGAATTATTCGAAAATGTTGTTTTTGTCCAATAATGATGCGATGGATACATGGGAAAATAGTGATTGAAAAAAAAAATGAATATTTTTTTTATTATGAATAAATATAAGATGAAAATAAAATAATTAGAATTGATGTTATGGAAATGCAACAACATATGAATTAGATAATATATATATATATATAACTAGTACAACGTCCGTGTATTACACGGTGCTTGCTAATTTTTTCTTAAAATCTAAAAATTAATGAGAAAAAGTAGTTAAAACTTTAAATACCTTTTATAAAAATATATATATTATTATATATTTAGTATAACACTTTTAATTTGTGTGTCCTACATGTGTTATATTATGATAACTTTTTTAACTTACAACATATAACTACGTTAAACATAAATATATCAATTAAGAAATAAATTTATTTTTCCAATGAATCTTAATAAATATTATTATTTTTTATTATTATAAAGATAAATATAATTTATTTATTTCATATATACAATATAGATGTCAAATCGAAGATTATTAAAAGATGATTATTTTGATATATTATACATGTAAACCCGATAAGAAATACGAAAGTTATCAACTTTTAAAATATATTTACAATTCAATAACTAATTGAAGGAAACAAATCAAAAGTCAGGGATATATTAGTCACTTAGTGTCTCACAAAGAATTAAAGGGTTATATTAGTACAAGTGATATTAAAATACATAAGTTAGCTAAATAATATTTATAGAATGTCCGAACCTAGATTATTAATTATTAATCTATCAATATTATTTGTCTAAACCTAATTACGAAGCATGATTCTTCGCCAAGTAGGATTCCGAAGCACCAGAAGCAGCCACGTAGGCTCAACGCATTCCGAAATTATATATAGGAGGGATATATGTGCAATTGATGAAATTAATAGTGTTTTTTTTAATAATGTAACTAGTACAATATCCGTGTACACATCAGTGTTGAGCTAAAAATATATGATAAATGTTATTTATGTCTCATACCAAATTTAACTGCAGAGCAAAAATAATATAAAAACAGCATCACGAAATATAGATTTTTATCATGTCAGCATCCGAAGCGTGAGAATCTGCCACTTAGGCTCAACACATTTTAAATTAATATATAAGGAGAGATATGATGATTGAGTTTTATTATAAAATTGTGTTGGCATGATTAAAAAATTAAGATGTAATGACTAGTGCAAGTTTTTAAACATAATTTGTACCCATTTTACTATCTCAATAAAGTAAATTTCACCCCCATCAAACAAAAACTAAATAATAATAATAATAATAATAATAATAATAATAATATTAATTTCATATCCAATATTCTAATTGCTCTAAAATAGAGGAAATTATTTGTATTTTTGGGCTAAAAATACCTAATAAATGTAAGTTTTGTTACACAATATAGTGTTTTGATTACAACGGGAACCTATGAACTGACTGAAGTGTTCAGTTCGTACAATTTGAACTAAAACAAAATCGAAAATTACAAAAGAGAAAGCGAAAACAGCCGAGGCGATTGCTCTTTCCGCAAGACGAAAACGCCCCGTATAGTGCTGACGGGTTCATGCGTCTCGTCCGCAAAGATACAACGGCTTACGTCTCGAATACTGTAGCACACCAGAGTTCGAGCTCCGACGAACTGGAATGAAGTCGAGAACAAAGCAGTATGATGTGATGCGTGAGGCTTTGAGAGTATTCAGAATGCATGCAATGTTGTGTTGTATTCTCTGCAGTTTTATGTCCTACTTATAGGACTTCCACCTCTGAGGGAGAACAGGAGTTACATCAGCCACTTAAGGCTGAGATAAATGAGCAGAAACATTTTTCAGGTGTTAACTCACTCCACATGAAAGGTCAGGTGTTACATTTCAGTTGGGTCAAAACCCGAGTCCAAATCCAAATTGGATTTTTCAGTTGAGCCTAAAATTGTAAATAAATTTGCAGCAAAACAATATATAGTGATTGGGCCCAAGTCCCAACCGCCCAAGGCGGCCCAAGTCCAATTGCCAAGAACCAAGGACCAAGGCCCAGGCCCGAGCCGGCCGGCGGGCACGCGCGTGTAGCCGAAAACAACACCAACACTTGGTGCATAGCTTTGTGCTTGTTATAACCTCTCCAACTCTCTTTATTATAATAAAGAGAGTTAAACTCATTTAAGAGTCCAATGTGGGAGTGACTCTTGACCCTTCAAATCCCACAACCAACGTTTTACGTGTCCTTTTATGGCTAACTTTAACAATTTATTTCTCACTCACCGAAAATCAGTTTTGAGAAAATAAATATACCACGAGTATCTACTCGGAACGTAGAATTTTTTTATAATATTTAATTCAACTCAAATTAAATATTTAGCCATAAAAAGTTCAGTCAAAACCGGGTCAAACTTAAGTTTTATAACTGATTTTTCCATTAAGTTTTAATATTGTAACTGGTGCAATGCACGTCACAAAATTAAGTCAATTAGTTTGATTTCCAACACGTACATATATAGATGATTAACATATGTTCACACATTTCTTCAATGAATCTATGCATTATTTATTACACAATATTTTTGGAGATTTGCTTTCTTTATAGCAAGCAATTAAACATATCTAAATCTAATTTGATGTTTGGAGTGGAAAAGCTAGTTGTATAAATTTTATAAAGTCATAAGATATGTTTTAAGTTTGATTTTATTATTTATCTATTTTTTGCTTTTTTTTTTTTTTTCCGAATGCTACCAATAATTACCTAAAAAATCTATTAACTTGATTCGAAAAGTGATCTGTTAGGGATCTATCAACCTTATTGAATGCTCCTCTACCCACAGTGGGCACATGTTAATATGCTCACCGTTTATGTGGCATGCACACATTGGTGATGTTAATATGTTCAAAAAAATACATCACCAATGAGTACATGCCACATAAGCGGTGGACATATTAATATGTGTCCATCGTGGGTAGATGAACAATCCTCACTCTTAATCTTCTTCTTCAACTATTTCTCATGAAATATTTTATACCAAAAAAAATCACACCAAAAATCACCAAAAAATACATAGAAATTCAACGACATACACAATTCTCCAAATAGCTTATGTTGCTCAAATTCCGCACATCAACACACTGCAAGCACTTTTTTTTTTTTGTATGAGATAGTCTGTTATCAGCCTATCAT